AAGACTGCCATAACGATTCCATTTGGCATGTTCGAATTTATGTTCATGACTTTTGGTCTTAGAAATGCGAGTCAAACTTTTCAGCGCTTCATGGATCAGATTTTGAGAGATATGACATGGGCATATCTGAATGACATGTTGATACCTTCAAGAAACGCTGACGAATATCGTTCGCACTTAAGAAAAGTTTTCGCCAAACTACAAGAGAACGGCATAATCATACAGCCATCGAAATAAGTTTTCGGAAAACCGGAAGTAGAATATCTGGGTTTTACGGTTAGCAAAGACGGTGTTAAATTGCCAGATAGAAAATGCGACCCCAAACGCTTCTTGCGTATGGTGAATTTCTTCCGAACATTCCTGCCTCATGCCGCCGAGCAACAGGCTGTACTTTCAAAAATATTAAATGTCAGTAAAAAAAAGACACGACAAAAATTGCCTGGTCAAATGAGTCGCGAAAGGCTTTCGAAAAATGCAAGGAACAACTAGCTGAAGCAGCACTGTTGGCTTTCCCGAAATCTGAAGCACCACTGGCAGTAGCGGTTGATGCATCAAACATAGCAACAAGTGCAGTTCAGCAGCAGTTAACAAACAACAACTGGCAGCTACTGGGATTCTATTCCGAACGATTAAAAGGCGCCCAAGCAAAGTATAGCACCTATGTCAGGAAGTTACTAAGTGCTTACAGAGCCGTTATATAAGCATATGTTAGAAGGACGTCAGTTCTCGATTCTGACCGACTACAAACCCCTATTATATGTGTTCGAACAAAGCTTAGAAAAGGCGTCTCCCAGACAAGCTCGTCAGCTCATCTATATCGGACAATTTACGTCGGACCTACATATTTGCCGGGAAATCTAAATCTTGTCGCAGATGCTATGTCACGAATCGACGCTATTCATGCAAGCAACACAATTGCTTATGCTGAACTAGCTCTACAGCAGAACGAAGACAAGGAGCATAAATCATTTCTTAGACCAGATTTCGTGTCACAGCTAAAGTCATTCAATATTCCTGAGCGATACATGCATTTGTGACTAAAAGCTTACGTAAAATTTTCTTCGACCAGCTACATAACATCAATTATCCCGGAATTGAAGCTACTAAGAAGCTGAGGGCTGAAAGATTCGGTTGGGTTGACATTAAGAAAGACTGTAATACCTGGGCTAAAGCGTGCATTCCATGCCAAAGTTCGGAAACGTATCGAAATAATCAAGCACCAATCGCAGAGTTTGTGAGCAGCAAGATTCGAGCATATCAACATCGATTTTGTCTGACCTCTACCCATGTGCAAAGGTTTTCGTTACTGCTTGACGATGACAGATCGATACACACCATGGACGGAAGTTTGTCCTCTTCAAGACATAACCGCACAAACAGTAGCTCATGCATTTTACAGCAATTGGGTAGCAAGATTTGGTATACCGTTACGAGTCATTACAGACTAAGGTCGTCAATTCGAATCATCGTTGTTTAACGAATTGACAAAAAATCTTAGGCATTCGACACTTGCGGACTACAGCGTACTATCCGGCATCCAACGGCATCATAGAAATATTTCATCGCTCACTTAAAGGCGCCATAAAATGCTATCAAACTTATAATTAGGTCGATGCATTACCGCTAATTTTATAAGGTTTTCGAAATGATATTAAAGAAGACATTGGCGTATCTCCAGCTCAGTTAAGCTTCGGCTGCAGTTTACGACTACCAGGTGAATTCCTCGTTACTAAACAAGGTGATAAAACACTGCAAAGCAATGATGTTACCGAATTTTTGAAGCGAATGAAGGATCTGCAACCAACAAGTACGTCCAATTGTAACGACACGGATTCGTCGTTTTAATTCTGTTGAGGTATTACTCAGTCGCGGTCCGGGTCGTTGCAATAAATTTGTTTTATTGACTAGTTCGAAGCTGGTAAACCCAGGAGTGGAAAGTAAAAGACCGTTTGTTTTTATTATTTTAAAATTTATTTAAAGTTTTCTTAAATAACTTATTCTAGTCTTGATTCTACTCAATAATTTATTTTAAGCTTGACTCTGCTCAATAAGTTTTACCCAAAGACGTCAGAACATCAAAGGGTTTTTTTCAAATCTACGCAATTAGTTTTTAGCCAAAGACGTCAAAACATCAAAGGCGTTATAAAAACTATTCAATAAGCTTTATCCAAAGACGTCAGAACATCAAAGGGTTTTTTTCCAAATCTACGCAATTAGTTTCTAGCCAAAGACGTCAAAACATCAAAGGCGTTATAAAATCTACTTAATACGTTCTACGAATTTATTTAGCCTTAGCGTCGAAACACTATATGCTTCTAAAAGGGACTTAGCGCTGGAGTAGTGGTCTACTCACTTCGGTGTGCCGGTGCTAAGTGATTTTTCATATAAAAATCTCCGCTATTTATATAAAACACTTTGCTTTGCTTAATTGCACGCACAACCGCACAAGTATAATTTCGTGCGTGTGGGTGTTCGCTGTGTTTTGTCGTGCGTATGGATGTTCGCTGTGTTGATCGTGCGTGTGGATGTTCGCGGTGTTGATCGTGCGTGTGGATGTTCGTGGTGTTGATCGTGCGTGTGGATGTTCGCGGTGTTGATCGTGCGTGTGGATGTTCGCGGTGTTTGTTGTGCGTATGGATGTTCGCTGTGTTTATCGTATTTAAATATATAAATCGAGTTTTATGCAGACGATTTTTAGTAAAAAATATTAAGTTTATGTAGGGCGATGATGCGTCCAAAGGGCGATTTGTACCAAATTCCGTCCTTACACAATCATGCAAAACAGAAGACATTCTTTGAAAAACATTTGTTCACATCACCTTTTGTGTTTATTAAGAACTGAATAGTTCGCAAACCATTGCAACCGCCATACGAAGGTCCGTATCCAGTGCTTGAGAGAAGCGAAAAATTTTTAAAGATCGATGTAGATGGCCAAAAGAGCAACATCAGCGTTGACCGGTTGAAAGCAGCTTTCATATTTAACGATTCGCAGGGCACCGTGACTGACAACGTTGATCGAGTAAACGATAAACCGAACAACAATCCTGCCGACAACAAGGACATGGACAATGGCAAGACCAAAAGGTTGACGAAAGACTATATATCCAGGTATGGTCGAAGAGTACATTTCTCACTCAACCGTAAGGGGGATTGATGTGGCGGCCATATAACATCCCTGATATGTCGAACAACCAAATGTAGAATACGAACGTTGTTATGAAAAGTAAAAATGTGGTAATAGAAAAAAGGCAAAAAGCGACGCATCATCATTAGTGCCAACAGACATTATAAATTTGTGTAGATTAGTGTTTCTGAATAATAAAACTTTAGAGTTTAAGAATCAAATCACCAGCATTTTAATGGACACACATTCTCCGCAATGTCATTTTATCAAAAAGAACTGTCATTTCTGTTGCCTTCATTCACTGTGGGTGTTAACTTATAAAAATAATTTATTTCAATTATCGGACACTGCATTTTTATTTATCATTTTTTTTTCAAATAATATAATTTTATTGTTTCTGCATAAATAATTTTTTACTAAATTCAACTTATGTTATGAAGGAAATAGTAGCAGTTAGCTGCATAAACAAACTCAGTAGCAAAAAAATTAATTAAATTTTAATTAAATAATTTTAATATTATAGCTTATATATGACATTAGGTATTTTGGCTCATATTCTAATGCCAACCTTACTTTTTAAAAAACCCCTCACAAAAAAATTTAAAGGATTTATATCACGTGAACGCAGTAGTCATTGTCTTGATAAAATTAAGCACGGAACGTTGTTTTTCAGCTATTCTTGGTTGACGCGTGCTTTGTGCCATGGTACTGAGTCCTGTTGGAATGTCGAACGCCAGCAACCGAAATGCTGATCTTCCCAGGGCTTGCTCCCTCTAAAATAATTTTCCGGTAGATGTGGCTGTTTATTTTTACTCCGCAGCCGATGAACACGAGCGCCATCGGTGGCGCATCCTTTCTGGTAGCCATTCGTATGTTTAAATTTTCAGCTGATCTCTTTGCCAAGCACACTCGATCATCTTCCTTGTTTTTGTTAAGCTCAATTACGAATAGTGACTCTTCAGAAAAAACCAAATTTGGAGAACATGCACTTTATTGAACTCATTTTTTAAAATGCATTTGTGGCGAACTCGCCACACATACTGTAGCGCCCTCTGTGTGTGAATGCACACGCACTCGCGCCATCTGTGGGCAAAAGGACCATTTCCAAGCAGCAGCTAACTTCAGTGGCTGGCGACTGGCTTCCTTCTTCTTCCCTTTTTTTGCACGTGTTGATAACACAACGTTTTTATCGTCTTATAAATATTTATTTGTATTTAAAATAAAGTGTGTGGCAAAAAGCCACACATTTTTTCCTGCGATACGTTCAGCTCCTCTGCCATTTGATTAATGAATCATTTGTGGTGTTGTTACTGTTTTCTTTTTGGTGCACTTCCTGGGGATCGGGCAACTCTACTAGTATAACGATATCGAGCTATGGTATGACAAATGGTTTATGCACATTTAGCTGTGGGAGAACTCGAATGATTGCCACTTGTTTTTTCAGCCAAATATAAACCAATCACACACAACTCTATCACATACAACTTACAACAACAATACTTAATACAACAATAATACAACAATACTTATACAACTGTAATAATTGATTTTTGTTTTAATTTTTGAGTCATTACTTCGAAATTGTTTAAATGCGGTTATATTTGTTTTTTAAAATATATTAACTTTTATTTCGAAAGTTTTTTTTTTTTTTTCGAAATAATAGTTAATATATTTTAAAAAACAAAAATAACCGCATATAATAATTGAATTGTAATAATATATATAATAGTAATATATATAATATTATAATATAATTAAAATTTGAAGTTTTCTAAAGGACTCGTTTCATTTATAAAAGATATTATGGTTTTGAATATATAAAAAAACACTTACATTTTTATGAAATTTATATTTTTTATTTATATTAAATCTTATTATTAAAAGCTATATTGAGAAACAATTACAAATATCTTGGCAACACTTTTACCTCGCGGCATACTATTTGTGAACACTGTCATACTAAGTTCTAGTTCAATTTCTTGTGGACCTTCTAGAAACCGTTTAAGCACTAGTTGAACCTCATGTCTTCCTTTAGTGATTCTAAAACGAAAACAAGAAATAAGTCAATCAGTTTTTGTGTACTTCATTGTTTAAAGAATATTTTTCTTTATTTCTAAAATGAGTCACAAGATAATTTAAATTTTATAAATACAAATGCTAGATTGATTAATCATTATGAGTATTGAAAGTTACAGTACATAATTCATGCTGTAATATAGATTCTACTAAGTGTGAACTTTAAGCATTATTAATCTATATTGCATTAAAATAGAGTAATATTATTTCAAGTTTCAATGAGTGAATAAACAACGGAAGGTGTCTGATTGCATTTAACTAAGTAAATGCCAGCGCGATACTTGTTACTATTTCCTCCAAGTCACTATTAACGCACAGCCTCATCTGTGCGTAGTAAACTAATGTGTGCATCGGTTTGGAATCCACCATTTAAAAATACCTTTCAATGACAACGATGAGTCACCTTCGGATAATGTAACCGTTTACATACAAATGTTACAAGGAACATGATTTGAAAATTTATACGTGAAGTGTTTGAGTTCTTCACAGAGAAAGTGCATTTATACAGCTGGTTAATGAACTCAAGAAATATAAGGCTGACATTACCACCCTCTGGGAAATGCAATGGACGGGAGAAGGATGCTCTAAACGAGAACATTGCGACATCTACTACAGCTGTCATGCAACAAAGCATGAATTCAGAGTTGGATTTGCGGTAAGGCGAAGGTTGAAAAATTTAAAATTTAATTTACATCACTCTAATTTATGCACATGCCCTGACGGAAGATAAAGATGACGAAACCAAGGAAACTTCCCATGAACAACTTAAACAAGGATATGAACGCTGTCCCCATCATGAGATCAAAATTGTTATAGGAGACTTCAATAACAAAGCTAAGTAAAGAAGACATCTTTGTTGATACTGTCGGAAAGTTTAGCCTTCATACAAAAACCGCAGCTACAAAACATGGTGGTTAGTAGAATCAGATTCCATCAACTCAACATACGTTGCGACGGGCGCTGCTAAAGAACGATATCGACAAAAGAAAAGGGAAGGAAAACATCTTTTCAGGCGAAAGAAGAAAAAGCCGAAAGACGTGAGCACGAAGAACTTGCAAACGAAGAGCTCGAAAAACTGGACGAAACAGTTATTGGTGCATGCCGACAAATGGTACACCCATTTATGGTCGGTAGTGGTCCAATTAAGCCGACTTGGATTACTGCGAACCGTTGATCTGACAGTATAAAGCTGCAAATTGCTATTTCGTTGTGCCTGATGATCTTTGCACGTTAGCATAGAATGCTAGTTCGTACCATTTGGGCAATGTCTTGCTTCATATTTGTTTATACTTATCACCTACTAATTAGCTTGATGGTGACCTTTCTGATTGGATGCGCGTGGCAATGTTCGGCATCGAAAATGTGCTGTCGAAATGATTTGGTGTGAATGGGCGCGCTTTCTTCGTTGACATGCCATTGGCAATTTATGTTGTTAAGCCTGGCATAGACACGGCTTTGAATTGCCATACAGTATCATTGTTTGTTAAGAAATTGTTGGTCTCGATATCTGATTTTTAGTTTTCAACCATAAACTCGAAATTGATTTCTCCTGATAGCTTCGATGCGAGATAGTAACTATGACACTATGTTACCTTTTTCTGAGATATGACGAATGTCCGGTATAAATTAGCCAACAAAGACAAGATGACGAAGTTGACATGGAGATGCTTTGTCTGATTTTTGAAGTAACGCAATTGTGATTGGCTTATGATTGGTTAAAACAATACATCGTTTTCCTTCTAAAACATGCTTCAAATGTTTTTCCGACTGATATGGAACTAGAAGTTTGCGATTGTCTGTCATATCTACCATTCGCTTGGAATAATTCCTACATCACCGCTGTGTTGAAGAGAAATAGTCAATGATCTTTTAGGTCGGAGGATTGACAACGTCTTTGCTGACGCGATGACCTAGGAACGTCACTTAATCATTTCTAAAACACATTTACTCATATTGCTTTTAATCCGTGTTGCTGTACGCTTTGGAACACCGTAGCGACGTGCTGATAGTGTTTTTCACTGTTAGACGCGGTTTAAAGATCGTCGATATAGCAGATAACAAACTCTAAAACCGAAGGAACCTGATCCATATAACGTGAGAACATCTATTTCGCATTGCATAATCCGAATGTCATCACGTTCAATTGGTAAGACCGAATAAGGTTATAATTGCGGTTTCTCGTTTGGCTCTCAATTATTAATTTGTTAGCAACGTCGATCAGTAAGTTAAAACCTTTCAGGAAGTCGGCGCCTTCCTAACCCGTTTCCTGTGAATAATGTACTTCTACTGGGCTCAGGCTTAGGATCAGGAATTGTTGATATTGGTAACACGGGTGATCTGCACCCGTGTCCACTAGATATTTGAGTTGTGTCTTTTTGTCTACTATAAACAGATGGCTTGACTCCACCGTCTCTCACGAAACCGTATCTAGTCTTTCGATGCGTTAAAATTGCCAGGTTTCGCGCATTTGATGGTGTTAGTACAAAACCTAATATTATGAAAACAGAAGAGCTGTTCACTAATGTGATTAATGGAACGGGTGCGAATGTGTTGGGCTGAATTGCGATCTGAAGCTGGACTGTAACGATTTGGTATAGTGACATTAAAGTCGGTTAAAGAAGATAATAATTCCTTATCAATTGTTTTAACTTTTACCGTCAAACTTGTTATTTATTTATGTAGCAACGATTTATAGGAACCTGCAGTTCCTGCACTTCTTCACCTTCCTTTATATTCGAAACTCATGCTGCAGCAGGCATCTTCCACATAATTTAATATCGCGTACTACACCGCATTTGTACTAAGTGTTTTTACACTTTATCAATGCGTGTGGCATTATTTGTTACATTTACTAACTGCTACAAAAGTTTTCTTCGATGCCATTGCCTATTTTAGACGCGTCTAAGACAATAATGAAACGACGAAAATGGTTGTTAAGCTTCCAGAATTGTGTTAAAGTGTTATAACTGTAGAGCAAACTTTACTTCCGTATGCAGCTCGAAATTTTGTAATTAAATTGTTAATATGTTTTGGCCTTTCAAACACCATTTAAGTGTTGCCAATATTTCTGGCACTAATGCAGGTACCAAGGAGAAGGGAGTGAACATACAAGATAAAGTGTGTGATTGTATTATACTTGATAAATGCCATAACGATCCTGGACACTGTTTTTTTCAAGTGACTATCGACACACACCCTCCACGTAGCCCCCTCTACATAGCTACAATCATTCGTGCGTAGTAAATTAATGTGTGCAGCGATTACCTCGTCATTGATATATAAGGTTATGCACCGGGCTTGGACCATACCATGGAAAACCACAACTCCAATGAATTGCACGTGGTACTACCAACTAGCGACAGCAAGTCAATGATCGGGCTAACTGACGGAAGCTACTCAACGTGGTAAAGGACGACTCACGCCTCACGTTATACATTGCTTACATATTCTTAACATGCTGTAAGCATTGATTACACCTCTGTGCTACCTCTTAGCTCATTCCATTATGTACTATGCTTTCACTTCAATCATGTCCCACTTCTTAACTCATCACTGTATGCGTATGATAATATAATGCAATAAATCGCATTCTTGCCTTTCGTTATTCGTCCTAATTATTTAAATATCATCCTCGTACTATTTTTCGATATTATTGAACAACACGTTCGGAAAGGGTGGCATATTAACGTTAAAAAACTTTAGCATTCATCAGTTGGGGATATTGCAGAATATATGTGCTTGGCGGGACTGCTTACAATAGAGCTCTCATATAGTAAATGTGTAGACGAAAAAAAGTCACCACCTGAAGAAAGCATAAATGTGTTATCGAACAATTTTTGTAGAAAGAAACATATCCCGTTCGATGCGGAGAGTGAACTCTTTTTGGCAACAGTAAAGCAATCTAACCAAATTTCATATATGACATATATATACTTTAAGCTACAAATAAATATTACATGGTTTTGCCATATCATATTTTTGTGAAGTATGAATATTTGAAATATCTATAAAAAAAAATAATTACAATTTAAAAAACTAAAAAAATCAGATGAGAATATTAAAAATAAAAATTTCAAAAATTTACATTTTTTTAAGTACTAACGACAATAGCGTAACACACCTGCTTTCAACAAGATTTCGAGAATAACTGATTAAAATTTTTAATTTCATTTACATAGAAAACCAAACTCAATTAATTTTTTCTTTTTTTCGCTTAAGTTCGTCGCTTTTGTTAATTTCGTTCCTATCAAATACACAATTGTGATTGGTTGTGCATTTCGCTTTGACTTAAGTTATTATGGTACGCACACTCTAACTGATCCTTAAGTTCGCTTAAGTTCGTACGGTACGTGCCGACTGATTAATCCTTAAAACGTCCTTTTACAGCAGAGTTTCCACTTACTGGTTGCCTCCTGTTGGTAGTACAAAAAATAAACTCTAAAAGAAATTTGCTTGGCATAAACACAACGTGAAAAATAAAACTAATAAAAAAGCAACACCATAAGTTGCTTATTACTGCATACAACTGTAAACCAGACTTTCACAAAGCTGTGATATTACAACTCAAGACTCTTGAAAATTAGAAAGATTTCATCGTAATACCCTACTACTTACGTCACTAATATCACAAGGCTTAACTATAAACAGTTATTTACAATAGTGTCCATGTTAACAAAAATATGATTATAATATTTATATTATACTTATCATAAGGTACATATTCGCTATATTGATTTTATTTATTTGTAATTAGAATATAATTTGATTGAATTAGTTGCTTTGTTTTTAAAATGCTATAATTAATTAATTGAAGATGACTAGAGATGACAGTCATAATGCAGTATTTAATTAATTTGAATTAAATGTATAAAAAAAAATTTAAACTAGTATGTATTGTTTTTTAAAATTTAAATAGAACAAAATATGTGGAAATAATAATGTGAAGGCTTTATAAGCTATTTTTCTTCGCTGGTAAATAACATACATATTCAAAGCATATGATTATATAAAAATATGTCTAAGTACTTACTCAAAATGATTATCAGTGACTTTCTCAATATTTGCGGCTGCTTGTATTTTGACAATTTTTAAGTCAAAATCTATGTTGTCGTACCATAATGGTCCTCTTAAACTAAATATGGGACGACCTTCAGGTGGTATCATTAATTTCGACACAAGTGTTAGGAAATTATATGTATACGCAGAAGGTTTTGTATAACAATCATCACCCTCGCATATATGACTAGTTTGTCGGCAACGGCTATAAAATTTATATTATTGTTATTGGTATTGTGAATAAAATAAACAAAAAAAAGAACAAATGACTTACTTTTTCTGATCTGGATCATTAATATAACCATAAGGACAATGAATAGTGGTGCATTTATAACTACCCCGTATATTTGTACAAATATCATTTCTTCCCGTACAAAATTCTCCGGTAGCGCATTCGTCTATATCTCGGCAAGTGTTCCTATCAATTGCAAGTACGTAACCGCGGGGACATGTGCATTCATATGAACCTGGGACATTGTTACAAAAACCCATGCAAGGCTTATAAACTTTGTGAATTTCACATTCGTCAACATCGTTACATGTCCGATTATCGGAACTAAGTTCGTAACCCGAATTACAAGAGCAGCGGTAGCCACCCCAAAAATTTACACATTTTTGTTGACAAAGACCTGATATTTCCTGGCATTCATCCACATCAAGGCAAATACGGTCATTATCTCTGCTCTTTTGAAATCCAGTTTTGCATTCACAATAATAGGATCCAATCGTATTTATACACTGTGCGTTTGTCGGGCAAGTAGAGGGTTCCCGATCACATTCATTGATATCAATACAACGACTTACACCATTTACAACACTTTTATGATGTCCTCCAGGACATGAGCAAATAAAGCCTCCAATGCGATTGGTGCATATTTCATTTTCCTCGCAGTTATGGGATCGAGTTTCACATTCATCGATGTCTAACCTCATTTCAAAGATAACTTGTTTTAAACATATTTATTTGTTAATACAAACATTCATTACCAATGCATGTGATACCGTTTGGAGCTGGCATGTACCCCGCTAAGCATTTTGAAAGATTTTGACAACGGTAGGAACCATTCGTATTAATGCAATGTTGATGTGAACCGCATGGACTTTCAACGAGACACTCGTTTATATCTTTTAAAAAAAATATTAATATTTGTATTAAAAATGCAGCAAATATAATATTTATGCTTATAGATCTATCAGTTAATAATAGAAAAAAATATGTTGTATTTAAAAAAAGGGTGGCAACATTAAACATAAAAACCAAACATGCGACTTCTTGCGGCAAAAACAAAATGCAACAACAAAATTCCGTGTGCATTGTATTGCATTACTTACTTATTACTACTTGCATCTTCACTGCGCATCGATTGGTATAGAAAAGTTATGGTATATAATTCTTAATTTCACAAAAAAATTTAGTGAAGGTAAAAGATTTATATAATGAAATAAATAAATCAAAGCTATAAATAACGTTTTCATTGTATGTGCATTAATTCTGGAGCAGGTGTTGGATATTCCAACAGGAGTCAGCACATCGCACGGTGTATGCGTTAACCAAGAATAGCTGAAAAACAACGTTCCGTGCTTTGTTTCAATAACACACTGGCCATTGTGTTCACCTGATAGTAACCCTTTAGATATCTCGGTGTGGGGTATTTTAAAAAGTAAGATTGGTACGAAAAAATACCAAAATGTCGATCATCTAAAGCAAGCGCTAAGCCGAGAATAGGCCAAAATACCTCAAAGTCACTTGGATGCAGCGTACGATAGCTTTATTGGCCATTTGAATGCCATAATTCATGCTAGAAATGGCCATATTGAACCAAAATAAAGATTGAAATTTATTTTCACATATTTTTATTTATCTTTCATTTAATTTAACAAAAATAAACAAAATAAAGAGTTTTATTTTGTTGCAATTT